TTTGCTCAGTTGCGGTGGCCTCCCTTGCAAGTGCAAGGACCCGAGTTCAATCCCCGGGACAAAAAAAAAAAAAAAAAAAAAAGAATGATAATGGAGTACGCTCACTATTATTAGTGGGGAGAAAGTGTATCCAGGCTGATTAGTGTTATTATATTGTTAGTAGATCGGACTTGATAGATGGGCTAGTTTCCTAACCATGTGAATGAGCCCAGTAGACTATTTTATATATTGGCATACTGATTACTGCTATCAACAGTAAAAATATTAACAGTTAATTTTCTGTAGGAAGAACAGTGTTGTTAAGATCTAGATTCTTACTTTTTGTTATTTGTCTTTAATTATTCCTCCAAGAAAATTTTTTTGTGGTAATGTTCCCTGTCCCTCTGGCTATTTCATACTTAACTTATTTTGTTTGTTTTTAGAAAGATGTGAAGATAAGGTTAGGGGATTTTCTGCTCCAGGACTGGGAATGTAGCTCAGTGGTAGAGCACTTGCCTAGCCTGTGCAAGCCCGTGAGCTCCATTCCCAGTGCCAGGGGAAGAAATGAAGGAGGGAAGGAAAAGATGAAAAGGAAGGAAGGAGGTAAAGGAGGAAGGGGTGAAATACTTGGAAGACAGAAGCCTAGCATGGTTAGAATTCTCATTAATTCTTTTATGAGATTAAAATAACCAGCTTAATTGAGGTATAACTGACATTAAATACACTATGCATATTTAAAGTATATTTTCATAGTCCTTCAAGTTTGCTATAATGTACATAATGTACTTTTGATACCAGTGTAAAAATCAAGATAATACATACTTACATTTTGTCCAAAGTCTTCCTCCTGCCTGTACTGTGTCTCACTTAGGCAAACAGTTATCTGCTGTCTGTAGCTGTTAAGTAGTATGCATTTTCTACATTTATATGAGTGGAAACTTATAGTATACATTCTTTTTTATAGTCTGCCTGCGTAATTTTACTTGGTGTAATTATTGTGAGATTCATCACTGTTATGTGTTTATCAGTAGTTCTTTCTTTTTACTGCTAAGCAATATTCCCTCCCACAGCTTATCCGTTCATGCACTGGAAGACATATAGGTTGCTTCAGGGTTTTTTGCTGTTACAAGTAAAACTCCTATGAACATTCATGTCTGAATCTTTTTGGGAACATATGCTTTTACTTATGTTGGGTAAATCCCTAGGAGTGAAATGACTAGATCATTTTGTTTAATTTGCAAATAAATTAATAAACCATTTTCTGAAGTGGTTGTACCATTTTGTGTTCCTACCAGTGGCGTATGAAAATTTCAATTGCTCTACATCTAAAGCACCTCTTTGTGTGGTCAGTCTCTGTAATTTTCACCATTCTGAAAGAAGTGAAGTGATCTGTCAGATAAATTTCCACTTTTTAAAAGAACTTCCTGATATACAAGCCAGAAGAGAGAAATGGTTCCCACATGGTGACCCGTGTTGCATCTAGAAGGACGACGAAATATATGAAGAGAAGCTTATTTTAATCACAGGAAAGTGTATCTTTTGTTGTTCTTCATGTAGGAGATAACTTTTAAAGCCCAACATTTATAAGAGATAACACATAAAGGCATAATGAATAATACAAAGTCTTGGCCTTTGCTAGGAGCCATGGTCTCCATTCCCCAATTAGGACATTGCTGTTCACAGTGCTTGAGCCATCAGTAATTTTCATATGTCTGGATTTTTCCTATTTATACATGTAACCAAATGTGTATTGAAAAAGACTGTTGACATTTTAAACCCCCCTGCTGCTTTGTTTTAGAAGGTATTTTTGAACACCTTTGCTGCCATATTGTGACATGCGTTACTCATGTGATATTTGAGAAGCCATTAAATGACCTCCTGTATTCTCTATGCATATACAATTTTTAAAAGATCATATCAACTTCAGGATAACGCCTTTCCTGAGGGATGGGGGATAATAGTAGTGTTGGTCCAGAACCTAAGATGTATGTGTTTTCATGATGTTTTGTTTTTTTAAAAAAGATATAATGTTGAATATGACAAAATGTTCTGACTTAATTAAATTGAATAATGGGTTTATGGATGGTTGCTATTTTCTACTCCTGTTTCTAGATTTAAAACATTCCATATTAAAATGGTATAATGTGATAGTGAAGCAAGCTTCATGTAGAGATTACTAATGTGAAAATCCTATTACAGCCAGCGTCTCTTTATTTTCATAATGAAAGAATGGAATTGGGACATTTTTAACAGTCATATAATCTATTTAACACTGAAATGTAGGGAGATGGAGTGTGTTGCTCAGGTCATTTTATAGCACAGTGGCACGGTGGGATAGAAAGGAGCCTGGTATTTCAAGGAGGTACTGTTCTGCTTCTGGTACCTTTATAGAAAAATTCAGATGAGCCTGAACTTGTCCAACTGTGGAGAGAATCTTTTCAGAGCTATCCTTAATTACATCTTCTTGCACATTTCTGTAATCAAATGATATGCTATTTATGTGATTTAGAAACTGAATTTCTACAGGGTTGCAGGCATTGTGCTATGGAACAGGCTGGACATAACTGCAGTCTTCAAGGAGCCACAGAGAGCAGGGCAGCTACACCAGGACAAGCATGTGCCCCAGGCCAGGTCCTGGTGCAAGATACAGGAAAAGTGAGAATGAGCCATTGAGAGGGCCAGGGGTGAAACAAGGGGAGCTAGGGGAAGAAAGGAAGAAAAGCTAGCAGAGCAGGTGAGACACAGTTGCCAGTCATTGAGAAAAAGCATAACATGGTGCACAGATTTAGGGAGAAAATATATGCAAAGGAAGGGAAAATGATTTACAGCCAGTCTTATGCCCACTGAGAAATGGTAGTGTGGAAACAGAATGAGTAAAATGAAGTTGCTCTGAAACACTGAACGGGTCAGTTGGTATGTTAGCCCTCCATTTTCTGACTTTCCAGAGTTCAGACAGTACTTGTTTCATGGGCGAACCAAGTGAAGTAACACATGACAGTGCCTTATAAGTTAAACATTTTGAATGGGAGAACAGTAAAAATGAAAGAAGGGAAGGGAAATTAAGATGGTCAAAACAGACCGTGCGGGACTGAGAAAAACAGTCAGGGAGTGGTTCCCATGCCTGTCCTCGGCATTAGGTCGAGTGCAATGCTATGCCTCTGTGTACCAGCCTGGTGAGGGTATTCTGTGAGGTAAATTCTGCAGTGCCCTCCCTGAACTCTAGCAAATGCTTTCAAAAGCAAATGCTGTACTAGGCCCTCTGTGGATTGAGCATATCTATTTCTCTGAATGTCCTTCTGGGCTTTCCCTGGGGTTGTTTTTTTAACAGTTGTATTTGTCATTCAAAGCCACACATTGAGGTGAAAATTTGCAGAAAGCAGATTGCTTTTGAAAACCTTTCCATGATACTGGATTTTTCTGATTATGGTGCCTGTCCTGATGTGGTGGGCATGTGCATGGCTAGGAATTAAGACTCTTAAATTTTGAAACAGTCATGATATTGTGGTTTCTTGTTTTTGGGCATATATTTGTTTTATTGTTTTTCAAATGTTGTCGACCTAGACTTTTCAGTGTAAAATTTAATTACAGATCAATGTTGCTGATTTTATAGATCTTCCCATTCACTTTTTGTTTGTGACATTGACTTAGCAGAATTGTGAAGTGGAATTACAGCAAAAGACCCACGTGTTTGGAGAATACATGCTGTTCATGTGCACAAAAGTCTACCCGTGGGAGGCCAGGCATTTGGCTCAGTGGTTCCACTGCTTGCCTCGTAAGCTCAAGGTCCCGAGTTTAATCCTGTGTACCACCCCGCCCCACCAAAAAAAGAAAGTCTACCGGTGAAAAATCTTTGTATCTTTTCTCCCCTTGTGGCCACGGTCATTTTAAATCCCTTCACACAGGCTGAACACCCAGAAACGCATCACTCATGTGTCTTTTACTCACCCCCGTGTGCCAGTGCTTGAGCCATGGCTGGAAGACATGTGCGCCCATCCCCAGGTGTGTCTGCCAGGCTTGTCACATCAACTGTACTGCTTTGCAGGGGACACGTGGAGCGGGGTGGGAAGGTGACCTGGGTTATGAACCATGTGAGAGAGAGGGTGTCTACATCACAGACAACAGAGAGTGTGCATGTTTTCTGTGTTCATCCCAAACAGTCACAGCCCTCACCATGCTCCGCTCCTCCCTGAGCTCAGGAGGGAAGTGCGTGGTCCCTAGCTCAGGCACGTCAGCGCAGCCTTTGATTGTGCTTTCTGCTGTTGCTACTGTTTTTGCTTGTTTGTTTGTTTACAAACTTCTGAAAAATGTCTCGGTAACCCTAACTCTGCACCTGCATAATTAGTCTGAATGTCATTTAGATTCATAAAGACAGTAATGCTGATGATTGATGGCTGCTGTAGAGATGATGGTTAACAGTCTCTAACCCCATGTGAGCGACACGTTTTTTCTTTGGACCTAAATCTGACATGTAGGTATGGTGGTCTCCATTTTCAAGTAAGAAATCTGGCACAGAGAAGTTAAGTTGTGAAGATTGTAACTCTGTTAAGCATCAGAGCCAGTTTTAGCCCATGCAGTCTGAATTCAGAGCA